GGAACCGCCGCGAGCGTGGCTGCAAACAGGCAGAGATGGGGCAACGTCACACCAAGAAATCCCCTGCCGAGTCGTTGCCTTTTGCTCAGGGCTGATCTCGTTTGATCGCTCGCAAATATTTAGAAATCCCGGATAAAGGCTACAGGGCACATTGAATTTAAAAAAGCAACAAAATTTTAATGTGAGTGACCCAATTTTAACATGAAACACTCAAGTGAAGGAGATGAGATCAGGCTGATGGGAACGTCCCCCTCTCTGAGTGCAGTTTGGCTCATTAGAACAGGGATCAATGCTGATAATAAATGGAATATGTAGGACTTTTGAGAACACCCCGGGCTATTCCGAGGCTGTGATGAGATCGATCCTGGCTGCGGGGTGCCAAGGGAGGTCACCCCGCTGGGTGTCACTGCATCTCAGCCAGGACCCCAGTGGCAAAACGAGCAGGGGCTGGGGCTGGTTTGCGGGAGGAGACGTCACCAAAATGCAGCGGGTCAGGTTTGTTTGAAAAACTTGACCCTTTTTTTTAAAAAGCTTGACCTGATGAAGCTGAATTGTCAAAACAAGAAAAAAACTCCACGGCTGCTCTGTAAGTCCCTGCAAGCACCAACCCTGAACGCCATGATGGGATACTAACAGCGTGTAAAACACCTGAAGCACCTAAGGTAGGGAGGAAAACCACAGTTTTTCTCTTTCCTGAAAATCAGGTTAAAAATTCTCACTGAATTTATTGCAGCGTGGGGTGTCTCGGCACAAAGCAAATATCAGGGAGCCTATGCCGGGAAACACAGGCTCTTTGCCAGGGAGAGCACGGTGGCGTTGGGGTCACTGGTCCCTTGAGAGGTTTTTCTTGTCCTCTTTTCATCTAAAGGCCAGTTCACGCTGTCCCCAGGGTTACTGGGGTGCGTTGCATCTTCAGTCCCCCACAGTTCTGCCTGTAGCTGAAGCGAAGGACAGAAGAACGAAAAAGTACAGCTCTTTCTCCTCCAGAATCTTTTATCTTTTGGCCTTCCTTGCCCTTGGAAACCTGGAGGAGCGGTCGATCCGAAGATCCCTAGACTGAGATCCACATCCCCACAAGTGATATTTTCACGGGCAATACCAGCTACCATCCCACTAATGCACACACAGCCCCAGGTCCTGCTCTCCTTGCTCGGCTGATGCTGGTTATTCTGGCCTGGCCTGGGAGGGGGCTCAGCAGGCTTGGGTTGGGGTGCAGCTTCTCCTGACACCCACCCCAATTGGGGCGACTCACACGGGGCTGTGTTTTGTCTCCTTTGGCTTGTACTGTGCTGTGTGGTGGCAAACTGTGAGCAGGAGCGCTGGCCCTCGCAAACCGTTCCTCCAACCTTAGAAATGCTGATAAATGTCTGCAGGGTGGGTGTCAGGAGGACAGGGCCAGACTCTTTCCAGTGGTGTCCAGCGACAGGACAAGGGGCAACGGGCACAAACTGAAGCAGAGGAAGCTCCAGCTGAACCCGAGGAAGAACTTCTTCCCTCTGAGGGTGACGGAGCCCTGGCCCAGGCTGCCCAGGGAGGCTGTGGAGTCTCCTTCTCTGGAGATATTCCAGCCCCGCCTGGACATGGTCCTCTACAACCTACTGTAGGTGACCCTGCTTGGGGAGTGGGTTGGGCTGGGTGACCCACAGAGGTCCCTTCCAGCCCCTGCCATTCTGTGATTCTGTGTGAATCTGTGATTCTCTGCTGATATTTCCCATCTGTTAAAGGGGATTTTTCTTACTTGACACACAGCGCTTCTCCAAAGTTTCATTTATTTGCTTGCTTTTTGTTGTAAAGCACTTTTTCCCTAGCTGGATAGATGAGGCAGAAGAGACAAAGTCATCCTCTTTATTTTCAGGATTCCAGGGGAGTTTGGCTTCCCAAGGGTCGTGCTTTTGAGGCAGCGAGCTGGTGGAGCAATTGAGCTGAGTACAGGCTGGGAACGGCATGCATTTTGCTAGCGGCACAAGTAGGGAAAAGGCAGATGGGATGCAGAGGTGATGTGTTTCCAGAGGAACTGCAGCCCTGGAGCAGCTGTATCTTCGCACTGACCTTCCTCAGATGGGGATGCTGCGACGTTTGTCACCTCCGTGGTCCCCTGTGGGTGACAGCTCCTACTCCTCAGCACCTCGGGCACGGGGGAAGGCTGTTTCCCCTCCTCAGCCTAATTCATGGGGATACTGGTGTAAATGGGAGAAGCCGTGCTTGGCCGATGCACCAGCTGCGTGAGTCCAGTGGTACTCGCTGTGACCCCACCTGTGTGTCTCCCAGCGGGAAAAACATGTTTGCATTTACCCACAGACAGAAAGCAAAAACCAGAAAGCAAAATAAACCCCAGAAGCGCTGCCCCATCACTTTGTAAGACGCGCGAGCCGAACACGGCGAGGGCTGGACCGG